AGTTTATCAAAAATACTCCCACTCTGAACAGCTAAGTACTTAGTACAGTAAAGCGTTATACAGTGAACACGAGTTGAAAACACTGAATTCAATGGCAATTTTTCACTAAGGGGGCTGTTCTGCTTTACATATCTGAAAACAAGCAGTTAGAAGGTGTGTTAACTTCCCATTGCCATCATCTGAGATAATAAACTTAAAGGGAGAAAAGCTATTTTTTTGGGGGGGTGGGGCTCAGTTTTACTGGTTTCAGTCCCTGTTCACTTGGCCACATTGCTTTGGGCCTGTGGTGGCACAGTACATCATGGTGGGAGTGCCTGGCCTCATGGTGGCTGGGAAGCAAAGAGAGACATGGGAAGGGGTCAGGATATCACTATCCCCTTTAAGGGCACACCCTGCAATGACCCGATTTCCTTCCAGCAGGCCTTATCCTCTAAAGGTTCTACCTCCCAATAGCACCACAAGGTGAAGACCAAGCCTTTAACACATGGGCCTTTGGGGAATATTTAATTTTCAAACTATGGAGAAAGTGTCTGCATTTCCTAACTTCAGAAGCTACAGTCTTCTTAAAGACAAAGGTCTTTAAACTGTTTAGTGCTTGCATTCTCAATATAGTACAATGTCATGAAATGAACGTGGTTGATAAATTACTGATGCATCCAATGGCAATATTTCATTTTAAAAATATTCATACTATAAGTCTCATGCTATGAATTTGTGAACGAGGTCCTCTAACTCAATTCATGTAAAATGTTGCTGCCTCAGAGAAGTTGACTCTGACTGTGCTGCCTAAAGAATTGGCTCCCATCAATTTTGGTCTCTCTTACTGTTTAAATTTTCTTTGTATCATCCATTACTATCTGCCATTGTATTATATATCTACCTATTTATTATGTTTTTTTTAATACTTTAATGTTTTTGAATAGCAAGCTCATAGGAACAACACAGAAAACAGATGTCATGAAAGACATGTACTTGCTTGTAGGACAACAGTAGTGAATAGGTAGAGTCTACTACATGATAAAATGCTACAAATGTCCTTCAGTTGCCATTAATAAGAAATTTGCTTACTTTTAAAAAATCCCAATGCTAGCATTGTCCAGAAAAAATCAACAGGTTTGTTTATAATTGTTATAACATTGAACTACTAAAACTTGTTCACCAAAACATTTCACCTTGTATTAATACTCTATATCCCCACATTTACATTAAAAGTCCATACATAAATGAAAATGGAAAAACTGTCAATACCTGATTTCTGTCCCCTATTTTAATTTCAGAGTGCCACAGTGCCAGGCCAATAACCATGAGGTTTCTTTACCTCTCCAGTAGAGGGGGTGCAAGTCTTGCAAGCTGCTTTTGTAGCCAGTTGTTTCCTGGGTGCTTTCCCATGGATGGATTTGCTGGCAGTGAGTTTTGTACAAACCAGAGTATAGAAACTTCCTTACTTACCCCTCTTCTGGAGCTCAGGAGCTAGAGGAGGCATTAGCTGTGGAGAACTGTGGCGGTGTGGTAGCAGCTGTGAATATCTTATTATTTGTTTCCTATCTCCTCATGAGTATTCAAGCCTCATGACAGCAGGGACTTCATTTCTTTTCATCACCAATAGATGCCCTGCACATAAAACAATGCCTGGCATTTATCCCTCGTTTCATAACTATTAATTGAGTAAATGATCAAATGGCCTATTTCCATGTTTATGGTGCAGCCAGATATGTGGGAAGACATTGTGGCTTATCTCTGAATTCTTTGATATTAGCTAGCTGATAGAGAACTTTACAAATACCCAATGAAGAAATTGCCCAGAGCCATTGTGCCTCGAAAGAGAAAACATATAAGAATACTGCACACTAGGATATACTATTAAAATTGATTTTTAAAAAAGACTTGTCCTCATGTGGTTGGTTTATTACTACTTTGGGTTTCCAGGAGCAGATAGCAAATTTTCAAACCTTGGGAATCCCCAAGTCCTCAAGTACAGAAGTCCCCAGTCTGGGCCATATTCTACATTACAATTTTAGATATTTGGATATAATATTTGAAATTTGTTTAAAGATTAAACTTTTGAGCTTTCATTCATTTAATAAATGTTTTCTTGATCATGTTCTATGCTTGAGGAAATTTTCAAGTAGTCATTCAAATTGTTTCATTAGACAAAACGATGTTGTTTCCCTGATTTCTCCCATTACCGCTAACAGCCATTTTGTCTCTGTTCCCAGCACCCACCACCAGTTATTGTCTATTTCCTATTCTTGGAGTAAACAGTATAATCATTTGTATACAGCCTTTTCTCCCTAGGGCCATAAGCTCATTAAGGTTGGTGGCCATGTCTTTGACGTTACTATAAACATACCTTCTCGTTCCTACTAGTTAGCAAAATGCATTGTACACAGCACAGTAGACACTCAACACTCTTTAACTGAAGTCAACATTATTTTAATGTATATTATTGTTACATGGCCTACAATATTTTACCTTCATTTAACCCCGTATGTTACGCAAATGTAAAGCTTAACTACCAGAAAAGTCTTTCCAAAGGCAAATTGGGTCAGTTTTTTTGCATAAAAATCCTTCATCTTTATTATTTATTCTTCATACCTATAGTTACTTCATATGTAAGTAGTTTTCTTCATCTAATCTCAAGATGCTAGGTTAGAAAGCACATACTCAGAGGCCACAGTAACCAGGTAAATAGCATAACCTAGCTTGGTTGGGGAGACAGTAAGAGTTGTGGTGATTCTTCTAAGCTTCCAGGCCCAAGCACATCAAAAGGAGCAGCCAATGTGGCTATAGGCAGTTATTCCCATGCAGGAACCTAGGCTCAATGTTGTCATATTTCCCACCTCTTCAAGAAAAGTCTATTTTTTAAATGTGAAATTAAGTCAAGTAAAGGGAGGGGACGTCAGAAGACAAAAATGACAAGTTATGTTTAAAAATCAAATTGGCTTTTATTTGTAATTCAAGAAGCACTTCATTCTATAAATAGAAGGAGTGCTTCACTGGGCACGTTTGGTTTTTATAAGGTGAGAACAAAGAAACAGAACAACAGAAGAAAGAAGATGGGTTTATATTAGTTTTCTTCTCTTACAAGGTTAAAGTAGGAGGAACTACCTGATTTCACTGATGATTGACTTAGTCCTTTTGATTGCCTGCTGTGAATCTCCTGTTTTAAAGAAAAATTGGTCTGCTTTGGAATCTACCTACTGCCTTAAAATTTCAGTTTGATTATATGGCACTTAACATGAATAACTCCATTTTGGTTTGGTTTGCTCTGATGGGATCTACTATAGGAGCTCAGTCTCCAAAAATTGGCCTCCCCCAAAATTTATTTAACAAAAAAAAAACTTTGGGGGAGTAAACAAACCCCACACATAAACTTAGCCTACAGCAACCACAAATGTAGAACTTGTACTTAATAAATATCTTAAAACCACATTTTTATTTTCCCCAGAATCTTAATTTCAAAACTTGTGGGATGAAATGAAAACAAGAACAGGAAAACAGGAAAAGAAACGTAATTTTAAAAGTAGGAGACAAGCAACAGATCTGTAACATGATATAGAAGATTTCAGTGATTGCAGTCTGGTCATTTCTCTCCTTACACAGTAGCACTTCTGCTAGTCTCTAAGGAAATGAAACTATCTTTCCCAAATTTATTCATTTCCACAACCCAGAATTTCCTTTTTTAACCACTCTGGAGGGAGCAAGCTTGAACTAGTCAGATTGGTCAAACTTACTAGAGCAGTGGCTCTCAACTTTTATCAAACATCAGAGTGACTTCAAGGCGTGTTAAAATACAAATTACTGGAACCCTCCCAGAATTTTTGGCCCACAAGGCCTGGGGTGGCTTCAGAGAACTTGCTTGTCCAGGAAAGTTCAGATGGTGTTGACACAGCCCTTGGAAATCTCTACTTGGAAAAAGCACTGCTGTTGAGGTTTCCTGGAAGGTTGCTTTACAGGTATGACCACTGTGGAAAAGCTAACGACCCCCCAAATAAAAACTACACTTGCACACCAAAGCACACCTGTAGGAAGCTACAGTTCCTTCTGTTTATTCTGCGTAGATTTGCTTAAATGAAATGTATGGAACTAGGCTCCTGCACCAGATCCCTTGCAGACCAGACCAAAATGGAATCACTCCTATTGAGTGTCACTTATCAAAGTGATCTCGGAAATACTCCTGCCCCTTTACCCCACCCCAGCAACCAATCGGAAGGACTTATTTACCTGGGACAGCAAGACAAGTCCTGTCGGTTTTAACCCTGTGAGGAAAGCAACTTTCGAAACATCAGTCTTTTTGATCCTTATTTTGTCTCTCATTTCCTGCTCTCTTCAGTCCATTTCTGCCTAAAAGTCAACCTGGGAGCTCTTACTATGTAATAGAACAGGATGCTGCCCGGATTCACGAATTATCATTAGCCAATTCGGTCTTAAATTAATTTTGTTTTTGAACAGGTCTCTTACTCTGGAAAGGCTCCCATTTTCGTCCTCATCTTGTCAGCATTTGAATAAACCGGTTCTGTCACATTGTAGTCATTAGATGCTATATTAAAAGGACCTGCTCGGGGTGAAAAAAAAAAAACCTTAGTAGCTAATTGATGGATGTTTGAGCCTCCCTCACTTACATGGGAAAATGCTTCCAACTTGACATTCGCTTCAAAGGAAATGTCATCCCATTCCACAAAGCAGGGCAGGCTTTATTTATTTATTTTTATTTATTTATTTTAGGAATGCTCGCATAAATGCCAAATACCGGAAACCTGCTCGGAACAACTGAAAGTCAGTCCCCAAGCAAGCAAGGAAACGAACGAACACGAAACCTGAGCCCCGGTCCTCCCGGAACTGGGGTCGCAGTCCTCCCACCCTCCCGGCTGGGAGGACGCAGGGGGCGTGGCCGGGCGCGCGGTGCCCACGTGACCGCAGAGAGCCGCGCACGGCCAAGTCGCGCGATCCGCCGTCATATCAGCTTATGACGCCGGCCGCTGATTGGCTGGCCGCGCCTTCGCTCGGTGCGTAGGCTCGGTTCCGCTCCTCCGGGCAGAGCCCGCTTGCGGACTCCAGCCTGCCTGGGCAGTGGCAGGCGTCAGGAGGAGCGTTGGCGGCCCTTCTCCAGGTAGGCACAGAGGCTTTTGGAGGAGGAGGAGGAGGAGGAGGGACACCTGAGCGGGCCGAGGGAGGGAAAAGGAGCGACGAGGTGTACTGGACCTTCCTTGATCGCCGCAGGCGTTTGTTGAATGCTTCCCAGACGCCCGGCACTGGGCAGGTGCTGAAGCGCAGTGGTGAAGCACACACCGGCGGGTAGCTAGATGTCCGTCACCCAGGTGTGAAGGATGCAGGGGACGCCCGCTGGTCTGGGCTTGACAAAATGGTGAGGCCACGCTGACACCTTCGGCCGCGGGGCCTCCGACCCGCCGGGGCCCGGGAATGGGAAGGACGGGAGGGAAGCAGACATAGGTAGGCCTTGAATATCCAGTGTTTGATGTTGGGTCTTGCCCGTCCCTTACGTATTCAGGGAAGCCCGGCCGCTGAACACTGACGCTTTCCTTTGCGACAGATTTTCCCGGGTTCTTAGAGGGGGAAAAAAAAAAATGGGGGAGAGGGGGAGTTAGGCTGAAGAACTAATGGTCAGTTTTGGGGTGGTGGGACAGCAATCCCAGCTTTGAAAAGACTAGAAGGGGATGGGAAATAATCTATTAGCTTCATAAAAGGAAAAATCACGCCCACTGGCATCCTGATGTTATTGCAGAGGCGATTTGAAGTTGGGATGGGTGAATTAGGGAAAGTTACCTACCTGTGTGGCAGCTCGGTATTTTTAGCCCAGACTTTCTAGAGATGGCCTATCTTCCTCTCCCTTCTTTTTAAGTATCTAGTGATGAATGGGTGTTAATAAGTACCTGACTATTAATGATTGAGAGTGCTGTCCAGTCATTGTGTAATGTAATTAGCTGGAGTAGCACTCGGTTCCCATCTGCATGTCTAACAGCTCCAGGGAGAGCATAATGTTATAGCGAAGAGAACAGGCACGGAATTTACATCACAGGTGGAACTTGTTACAGAACGAGTTACTTAAATAGTCCTGACCTCAGATATACTTCCCTATAAAGTAGACTACGTATGCTTATACAGGTACCTGCCTCAGAGTTGTGAGAATTGGATGAGATTATACAAAAAGAAAAAAAGGAAAAAAAAAAAAGGTGCTTAAAAGCCAGTTGTGGTGTCACATGTCTGTAATCCTAGCACTCAGGAAGCTGAGGCAGGAGTAACCATCTGAGGCCAGCTTGGGCTACGTAGACAGACCTTGTCTCCAAAAAAAAGGGAGGAGAAAGACTTATAATAATACCTGGTTCTCAATAAATGTTAGCTATTACTATCTATACTTTTTAAGTTAAGGGAAAAAGGTTACAGTACACTCCCTTACCGAAGCCTAATAGTGTTTATTATTATTATTATTATTATTATTTTGCAACGCTGGGGATCAAGCCCAGAGTCTTCGGGATACTAGGCAAGTACTCTACCATGAAGCTACTGTTTGATAACTGTGTTTTAAGAAAAGATTTGTTTTTGCAAAGGCAATGTAAGATGTAAGATTCTGTTTCAAGTAGAGGTATGTAATTATCTTAGGATCTGTGGAGCCCCTGACTTTAGGGGGTAAAAACCCTTAAAATGATAGGAGCTTATAGAGTCACTGAGAATTTAAAATATTTCAGGAGTTGAAGAGTGCCACCAGAAGTGAAGAGGCGTAGGAGTTGAGGAAAGCCTATAGACTTTGTAGCCAGACTGCAGGTGTTTGAATCCTAGCTCCAGTAGTTATTTACTCTGTGACCTGGGGCGAGTTAACTTGAATTTTCTCTGCCTGGCTACCTCATCTGTAAGTACGAATACTAGTACTCTTGGGGTTTCTTGAAGGGTTAAATGAGTTAATATGTAAAATATTTATAGTACCTGGCATATAGTAAATATTAATAACTATTATCAGCTGCTAGTTTTTAAGAAATCAAATGGCAGGGCAGGGAGAGGTAGCTCACATCTATGATCCCATCAACTTGGGACACAGAGATCAGGAGATGATAGTTGAAAACCAGACAGAAAGCAAGACCCCATCTCAACAAAATAAAGTGGGTGTGGTGGGTGTCCACCTGTCACCCTAGCTACAGGAGGTATAGGTAGGAGGATTGAGGTTTAGGCTAACCCAGGAAAAAACTGGAGGTCCTATCTGGAAAATAATAAAGCAAAGAGATCTGGGGGCTTGGCTCAAGTGGTAGAGTCCTAGCAAGTGCAAGGTCTTAAGTTCAAATACCAGTAATGCCAAAAAGAAAAAAAAAAAATCCCATGGCACCTTTTTCTGCCTTATGTTAAAAAATCATTTGACTCAGCTTTGGCTCCCATAGCAGTAATTACAGTAGCTCCTATTTGTTGAATATCTTGAGTGTCAGACATTGTTAAAAGATTACTAAACCTTACAATAATGCTATAAAATGGGTAGGTTATCTGTTTTGCAGATGTAAGCTGGAATATAATTTTACCTAAAATTTCATCATAGTTCTGAACACATCTTATGAGATTTTTTTATTTGATCTTTAGCCCAGGCTGTTCTTGAACTTGGGATCAAGCCTTAGCTTCCCAAGTGCTGGAATTTACATTTGTGTGCCACCCATCTGGCCTATCAGAAGATTTTTATGTTACGTGTCAGAAATTACAGCAGTATATTCATGAATGCCTAGCTCAATTCTACATTCAACAAGTAGAATTAATTGAAGCCAAAATTCTAAAAACAGAAAGCAGGTATAAGTCTAAAGTGCTTCTGGATTGACAGAGGGACAATTCTCCTTTCTAGGCTCAGGTTTACTGTTAAAGCAGTAACATTCAGATAGTACACAATGGACACAGTTGTCCTGGTCTTTAGGTAAAAGCAAAATTAAAGAGTTTGGTAATGCTAAGGACTGAGGTCTTACTAAGGGTTTTTGTTATGTCTGATGTTAAGGATTGAATAAAGAGTAGTCTTCATTGATGTTTGGGTTCTTTTTTGGCTGCCAGGAACTGTATCAAATTAGGACTGTGTGGCACTCTCAATGGTCTCAGCTCAGTGATGTTTAACTTAATGAATTTTTTAATTTGACCTTGTGAAAGGGATTTGCATTCAGTAGAAATCATACAACTTTCGATTCTCTCCCACCCTCCTCAGACTAGTGATATGCAGCATAACAATCACAGTGCTGGGCAATAGCCATGAACCACAACTCCCAGGGAAACGGTGTACTGTGCTACCACTCTGGGGTGTTTGGCAGGTTAGGTGTTTTAAATGTATTTTCAGTTTACAATGGGTTTGTCAAGATAGAACCCAAGGAATGTCTGTGTAGGTAATGTGGAGATTGCATGAGCTCTTACCAAACTTGAGGTATAGCAATGTCCTTTTCAGTAGCCAGTATTTGTGTTCCCTGGTGGTACATAATGTACTTCCCCTGCTCCACTGTTTCCCTTGACATCTTCACACCTTGTGACTTGAGCTTCAACTCTTTGCCTATATCCTAGGCTTGCTTTTGAACTTCACATTCATAATTACTTGTGTCTACTGCTTACATCTAGGAGCCTAGGTGAGCTACAGGCAATTAGGTTTCAGACCCAAACTGAGCCACTCTCCTGTTCTTGCCCTCTAAATCTACTAGCCTCCCCAGTGTTCCCTATTTCAGTTACAGGGACACCACCATCCACCTGGACAAGTTAAAACCTCCCAGCCATCTTGGATTTCTCCCTCTTTCACATGCTGGTATTTTCAGGTTATCCAAGTCCCGTGGAGTTTTTGCTTGCTGTAGCTGATGAGTGGCACTGTGCTCCCAGCGCCTCCCTGAGGTCAGGCTGTCTTCTCTGAGATAGTCTAGCACAGGAGTAACCAAACAAGTCTCCTGCTTCTCACTGATTTCATATGTCTCATGCAATGGTCTTTATGAGACGTGGGTCTGAGCATAAAAGTTCTCCACCCACCATGTACATCCAGTCCAGTCACGAGTATACCATGCCCTTCCTGCTTTTCACCTGTTAGCATCTGTTCAGAATGGCTGTCCCTAAGCCTTTTCTTTCTGGTGCTGTCCTCCAAAGCTCAAACTAATGTAGTATTCACTTGGAAGCCTGTCACTGTAGGCAGAGATAAAATATTGTCTTTTCTGACTGCCTAGACTTTGCTTGTGTCCTTTATCATGTATAGCACTTGTCACATTGATGCAATATTGTTACCTTACTTTTAAGACTGATTTAGATGGTACCTGTTTAATCATCTAATGCTTATTACCTAGTGTGGTGCTTGACAACTAATAAATTGTTTTTTGAATTGATAGTGGCATATATGATGAGGATTTATGTTAATACCTGACAAGATATTCTTTTCCTGACAAAGTGAGAAAAAAGCTTGTAATTCACATCAAAACCAAAGGACTGAACTCTAATAGATGGTGAGCCTCTGGCATGGTGGTGCATACCTATAGCCTAGGTTCTTGAGAGGTTAAGGTGGGAAGATCCCTTGAGCCTACAAGTTTGAGACCAACCTGAACAACATAACAGGACCCTGTCTCAGAGAGAAAGAGAGACAGAGTAGGTGAAGAAGTGGGGAGGAAAATAATAGTGTAATTCCTGATGATAAGGTAAATGTAAATTAAATATGTGCCAAAATATCCTTTCATTCCTATTAAATTGGAGAATACCCAGAAGTTTCACAGTAGAAAAATAGGCAGTATCCTCCATTGTTTGAGGACTTAACAAAGCAGTACAACCCCGGTGGAGAGCACTTGAGCAGTATGTACCAAGTCTGTCTGTGATGTGGCCCTTCTGCTGTTGAACTTTACTCTGTACAGAATCACAACCTCAAAGGCTGGAACAGTTGTTTTGTTTTTGTTTTAGGTTCAATCCTCGAACTCACTTGATGACAAATCCTGACTCCGAGTGTGTTTTGGTGCACATATCAGGTAATCCTGCCTGTTTGCTCATCCAGTTGTGCTTTTATGTAGTTTTGTTACTTTGGATTTAATTGCATGTGAAAATATCTTAAAAAAAAAAAGTTTAAAGCAGCCTTAAACTAGATGAGTAACAGTGAGAGACTTAGGACATCTGTCCTAAGTAGTAGCACAGAACAGGGAGTTGCTAGAGATACTGGTGTGTGGTGTGTCTGGCACATCTGCTGAAGGGGACAGGATAGGAACTATCACCATATATGACATAGGGTAAGATTGTTGAAGGTTAATTGTAACAGTGAGGACCAAGGACTATTAAGAAGTAGGAAAACGATGCTTGGGACAGAAAATGAAACTTCTAACCATGTTTGATTAAGTGGCCTTGACAGTAAGGAAGTAAGAAATACCACTAGTTGCTGTGTTGACCATGAAACAAGCTAGCATATATGAAGAACTATCACTGAGGATGAGTGTCAGTATTGAGAAGGATCTGGAAATTTAGGAAGCAGTGTGGCGAAAAATATCTGAAAGTATGGTGAAAGACAGTTGAAAATGTTTATTAGTCCTAGACATTGTGCATTCTTCTTCCCCACTTATGGTAAAAGCTTTGTTTCTAGAACTTACTTTCTCCCCACTCTGACTGGAATGCACCTTTCTCACCTAGGAGTCTCATGGTCTGGGAAAGCAAGTATTGATACTGCCTGCATAGTAAACGGAGACCTGTGAAGCAAAACTTCTGTAAGAGTTGGGTCATAAAGATCTGTTTTCAAAATTGCTTAATGCTCAAAGTGACATTGATAAATCAGTGTTTATAGGTACTTAGCATATTAGCTGACAGGTTTGAAATAATCTTGCAGCTCTTTCAAAGAAGTTTCTGTCACTAATGAGAAGATGATCTCTATCCTCATTAGTTACACTATACATTTAATGACCAAGGTCATGAATAAGTCAAGAGAAGCTGCCCTTAAACCAGTGCTGGACATTGCTCGTGACACTTCTGTTGGAAGTGCTGGGGGAGTTGCTGAAGGGTTGTTAAACACAGAAGCTGAGGACAGTATTGACAACAGCAATGATGACCACAGTGGCTATATTATGAACACAAATGGGAAAATCACCAGAAGGTATTATGGTTAGTCAGTGGGCAGCAATTGCTTAAGTAGAAACTTTTGTTTGTAAGACATGACATGGTAGAAATCCTGTCAAAAGGCCATCTTATTTAGTGTTGCTTCATCGCTTCACAAGCCTGAGCCTCATCATCGGTGTCTAATTGAACCCCATGGAGCCTTCGCTAACATCCCCAAGCAACCTCACAGAACAAATATTTAGTGCACGTGTATGCATCTACATACGGGGATTTAGCTACTTGATACTATATATACTTGAAAGTGTACTGAATATTTTCATTTTTAAAAAGTAATTAAGTTTTTATAGTCCCAATTCCATTTTTCTTCTTTCATTTACTAAATTATATGTATTACATATATAGCTCAGTACTGTGTATGCAATCACGTACATAATTAATGCATAAATTACCATCATACAAATGAACTGTAATACACTGTACAGTGTTTATTTATTCCACTTAATGCAAGTAGTCATACATTTGCTAAACAAATACATGTTTAATGACGGGGTAATGTGTCAAAAATCACCCTGTCTAGAAATTCTGAATTCCCAATACAACCGATGTCAAATGTTTTTAAGAAAGAGTGGTAGTCTTGTACTGTAAAAGAGGTGATAACTTCTAGAATAATGGAGTAAGAACATTTGAAAATCTGCTCTTTTATAAAAGCAACAAAATGATAATAAAAGTCAAAATTGGCTTTTTTAGAACTCTGGAAATTACAGGTTTCCAAAAATCCTAGGAACATTTACTTGAGAACAAAATGGCTGCATGTCAGTAAGAACTGTGAGCTTGGGGTATTTTAACTTGCTTTTTCTCCATCCCCCTTTCCCCAGCTTCCTATACTCTTGGACACAGCTTTGCAATGTAGAAGTTATGTACAGCCACAGTCTAGCAACCATGGAGGAGATAGAACAGGTTTGCGGTGCCCCAAAACTCACCCCAGAGAATTGTCACTGACTGACCTCTCTGGCAGTCCCTGAAAAACTTTGTTTGCAAGAGCTGAGAAACCTGCCCAGTGTCACAGTCATACCTCAGAGGAGTTGTCAAGAACAGTCATTGTTTAACATGATAACAGGAGGTGCTATGGACAGTTGGCACTGATCAGAGTCTGACCAAAAAACTGAAAAGGAAGCACTGGGGAATAAGTCCATAGGAGGCATTGACTTCTGGGAATCCAGACTGATTCTTGCAGAAAGTGCTGTGCGTATCCTCAGGAGAAGGCCCAGTCCTTCATCTTTGACTGACCTTGAGGATCTGCACAATCAGGACGTGAAGCCTAAGTCAGGGTTATAAGCTTCCCACAGAGTGTCTAAATCATCTCCCAACAAACAGTGCCCTCAGCAAAGGCTGGGAGGCCTGTTGGTTTAAGGTATTTAAGGAAATCGAATCCAGTTAGTAGTACAGTCTTCAGTAGTCTCACACAAGAACAAGTATAGTCATTGCACAGTAATTATGAAAATCTAAACATGAAAGCCTGGGTTGGAAAATACACAGAGAATCTGATTTGTAGGGTCGCCACCTGTTATTATTTAAATGTTCCTTTCCACACCAAAAAAGAAAGATAAAAGAATTACAAGGTACAACACAACAGTAAGCCATGGCCCATAGCACAAAAGGCAAGCAATAGGAACTGTCCCTGAGAAAGCCCAGATGTTGGACTTAACTGAGCAGAGACTAAGTCAGCTACTGTAAATGTGTTATGAGAACTAAAGATCACCGTGTTTAAATAACGAAGAGTATGAGAACAATTTCCTACCAAGTAGAGAATATCAGTAAAGTGATAGAAATTAGTTTTAAAAGAACCAAATAGGTGGGGGTTGGTACAGTGGGAGGGGGAGGATGCAAGGAAAGGGAGGAGGAGGGTGAATGTCGTGGAAGGATCATGTACTCGTGCATGGAAATGGAGAAGAGACCTGTCCAAACTACTCCAGGAATGGGGGGGCGGATAAAGGAGAATGATGGGGGGGTGAATTCAACTATGATATACTATAAGAACTTTTGTAAATGCCACAGTGTACCCCCAGTACAACAATAATATAATAAAAAATGTATAAAAAATTTTAAATGAACCAAATAGGAATTCAGGACTTGAAAAGTACAGTAACTGAAATTAAAAATTGTCAAGATTAACAACAGACAGAACAAAGAACCAGCAGATATGAAGACAGGTCAATTGAGATTATCCAGTCTGAGGAACAGGAAGAAAAAAGAGTGAATTAAACTGAACAGAGCCTGAGAGGCTTGGTCAGTCAGGCAAAGCAATATAAGCACAATGGAAGTCTCATGAGAAGAAGAGACAAGTAGGGAGAAAGTTTATTTTAAGAAGCAGTGGGAAAAAAAAAAAAAAAGAAGCAGTGGTCCCTGATGCCCCAGATTTGACGAGAAGCCTTCATCTACACCTTCAAGAAGCTCAACAGTATGGGAGTGGAATTTCTTTTTGTGGTGATAAAAGTGTCTGAAGCTAGATACTCTGAGAATATGCTAAAGAACTAAGGAGTCATCTCCTTCAAAATGGTGGATTTTATGATGTGGATATCTCAATAATGCTGTTTTTTAAAAAAGGAAGAATGTTACTTAGACATGGAAAGATCACCAAGGTATGCATTAAGTAAAAAGTGGAAAGAATTTCACACAGTACAATATAGCACTTTTTTGTATCAAGGAAGGGAAAGATAAGTTTGTAACACCATAAAAGTCCGCAGGAAACGTTAAATAAGAAACTGATAAACAATAACTAGAGAGCTGGAATGTCCCTATCCACCAACGTGACACGGATGAAAGCAAGGCTTTGTCTTTGTGTGTGTGTACACATATCTTTTTACATGTGTGTTTTTAACACCTGATAAATGTACATACTAGGTTTTTGAAACACTTGAAATCCTATGAACTTCGTGGGGAAGAAATGGGAAAGCTAATGGGGAAAATAGACTAAAATAACTAAATAAAATTTTTCCTTTCCAGCAGGCTATTTTTTTTCCTATAAATTGATGTTTATTTATAGGGCCCAATTTGTAGCAAAGGCTGTTTGAATACCTCAAGTCTCATGTGGTTAAGTAATTTTGATTTTTTTGTTGTTACTCAAAAATTTCAGCCATAAATGGGAGGTGTTTTAGAATGGTGAATATTTTCTTTACAAACGATGCAGTGAAGAATGAGTGAGTAGATGACAGATGATAGACTCCACAGTCAGATTGCAAAGCTGGCCATGGGTTGCTGGACTGTATTGTAATAGGACAGTGAGATGAGCATAGACTTAGGCATTTGCTGCAGTTTAAGCATGTGAAACAGGAACTGGCAAATTTCTGCCAGGGGCCAGAGTGTAAACCCCTCCCACTTTGTCTCTTGCAATGACTCAGGCTTCCTTGTAGGAGGAAGATAATATGTGCCCATCTGGGCATACCTGTGTCTAGTAAAGCGTTTACTGTCCCCAATTGCCACTGCTAATCCAGAATATTGATTATAGGGAGAGAATGTATTCTAGTCCTTTTTTAAATTTTATTTTTATTTACTTTTGGGGTGTGTGTGTGGTGCTGAGGATAGAACCCAGGGCCTCGTGCATGCTAGGCAGTGGCTCTACCAATAAGCAACACCCCGAGCCCTTTTAGGGAATTCATCTTAGGAGGCTCAGCACTGAAATAAAAATCACTGGAACATAAGTCCTTAGAGGAGAGAGATGCAGCTGAAACTTGAGGCTGAAGGAGTGAGTTACTTGTCTGAGTACCTGGTCCTCTGCATCCCTGTCTTTACAACCTAACACACTGCCATAGGGTGGAGTCCTACAATGGAATTAGAACTAAATTTATGCCACTTCCTGATGGACTTAGAGAAAAACCTTCCTGGGCTTCAGTTTCTCTAGCTGAGCCTCCCGTGTATAATGTGAAAAACTCAAACTAAAGGGGATATTTAGATCTCCCTTCTGATAGTAGAGATAGCATTTAGGGAACTGTGTTCTTTGTTGACAGTACTGGGATTTTAAATCAGGACCTTGCACTTGCTAGACAAGTCCTCTACCATTTGAGCCCAGGATGATTCTTAAATTGGGAACTTTGTACATAGCTTTTCTGAAATGCTTTTGCTTAGAAAGAAGCCTTTGTGCTAAGGACTTGTTGCCATGTTTGCCCGCAGGGCTACGATGGACCTTGTTCTCAGTGCTGCGGATCATTATTTCTTCACCCCCTATGTGTATCCAGCCACGTGGCCTGAGGATGACATCTTCCGGCAGACTATTAGTCTCCTGGTTGTAACAAATCTTGGTGCTTATATCCTTTATTTTTTCTTTGCAACACTGAGCTATTATTTTGTCTTTGATCATTCATTAATGAAACATCCACAGTTTTTAAAGGTAGGACATTTTCTTAACTGTTTTCTATTATAGATAAAATAACAATGTGATATATTTGTGAGATTTTTCAGACTAAATTAGTTAAATGTAACCATTAAATAAAGTTTCTAAAAACAGTCCCCAAAAAGAATTAGATAATTTTGGGAGGGCTAATCACCACTCTCCTTTCCTTAATTTAAACAAATGAGAGAGTCTAATTGTTTTTTCACTATATAAGCATAGCATCTTACCTCATTTAGATATATAGAAAATTTCTTTGCTAATATTAATGAGTAAATAAATGCACTCGTTTACATAATTAGTGTAATGCTTGAGTTTCAGAAATAGAAATATGTTTTTACCCATGTGTGTGTTTCTTAGGCAGGACACGGGATTCAAATTTGGTAGTTTTTGAGTTGTTTGTAATCAATCCAGAATAACTTTCATTTCAAGGACCCATTTTTGTCAGTTACTCCAAGGACTGAAGTTTTTAAAAAAAAGCATTTTGGGTGGAAGTTGATTATAAAACAAATGATTATGCCATAAAGAGAGATTTAGAGTATAGATTTGTAGGGAGAAGAAAAGGTTTCAAAATTGAAAATATTTATTATATTTGCTAGGTCAAAAGGAATGTTTTTCTTACATACCCATTCTCATTAAAATTTAATAGAAAATTTTATTATAATTTTTATAGAAAGAGTTTGGAAGTAAGCCCTTTAGTATAAAAGAGAGTTTAAAAATCCAGTCCAAAGCAATGTATGCCCACTTTGTTGAGTCTAGATTTTGTGACTTTTATGTATTGGAAATTCCGTTTTCAGAATCAAGTTTCCCGAGAGATTAAGTACACAGTCTGGTCGTTGCCCTGGATGAGTATTCCTACCGTCTCACTGTTCCTGCTGGAGTTGAGAGGTTTCAGCAAACTGTATGACAACATAGGAGAGTTTCCCTATGGTAAGTAGGCAAGACAAGAATTAGGAAAAAAGTGCTATAAGCACAGGTATTTATTTATTTATTTTTTGAGACAGGCTTTCTCAACATAGGAGGTTTGAACTCAGGACCTTGGGCTCTACCACTTGAGCTATATATACCTCCAGCTATTTTTACTTAAGTTATTTTTAGATAGGGTCTTGCAATTTTAGCCCAGGGCAATCTTGAACTGCAATCTTCCCATCTCTGTTTCAAATATAGCTGGGATTATAGGCATGCACTACTTTGCCTGGCTTGTTTTTGAGATGATTCTCACTACCTTTTTGCCTGGGCTTTCCTCAAACCCTAATCTTCCCAATCTCTGAGATTTACAAGCATGAGCCGTCCTGCCCGGCGTGAGTCTGATATTAAATCTGGGCTTGCTGGCACTAGAATGCTACTGTCAGAGAGAGATTGGTAATTTAGAGGTGAGAACATAAATTATACACTAGGGTGGTATTTTGATGGGGCCTTGAAACACGAATGGAGTAATGGTAAAAACAGAGGGAGGGAGGACATTCTGGATTTGTGGGTCAGTGTAAGCAAAGATCCAGCAAAGACCATCCAGACATTGGGATGGTGTTGCATAGAGAAAACTTGTTGGAGCATGCACACAGGAACATGGGCCCAGAAAGATGGGAAAGGCTTAACACCAGGCTTAGTGTGTGTAGTGGAAGGGAGGGAGGTGCTTAGTACACGAAGGAACACAAAGTAGCAACGTTCCCAGAGAGTTAATTAATAGCAATAGCCCAGGAACATCCTTTTCTGTCTCATACATTTTTTTTTTTTTTTGTATTTTCATGGCTTGAGAGCTCCTTCACTTTTTGTTTTCTTTTTTTTTTTTTATTATTTATATTTGTTTATTCACATGTGCATACATTGTTTGGGCCATTTCTCCCCCCACTGCCCTACCCCTTCCCTCTCCCCCCACCTCCCCTCCCTTCCAGGCAGAATCTGTTCTGCCCTTGTCTCTAATTTTGTTGGAGAGAAAACAAAAGCAATGATAAGAGAGACAAAGCATTTTTGCTGGTTGAGGTAAGGAGAGCTATACAGAGAGATTCCTAGCATTGCTTCCATGTACCATTGTGTTACATCCCAAGTTAACTCATCTCTTACTGACCTTTTCACTAGTTCCTGATCCCCTTCTCATGTTGAGCTCTGTCATTTTAAGTTTCCTGTATTAGTTCCTCTATAGTAGGGACATCAAATACTTTCATGTTTTGGGTAAGAAATTCATGCATATCTTTAGAGTTTAAGAAGCATGCACAATTTTTATGTTTTCATATATCAGTTAAAATGATTTTAATTTTAAAAAGAAATCAATTAAAAGTTGGACTTTTCAAGTTCTTACATGAGAGGGAAGTAAGAAAGGGTAGGATTCTAGGGAGGGGGGAAAGTCATTTATGTGTTGAATTGCCCAAAACAGTTTACACTGTTTAAGTTTAGGATCCAGTTTGTAAAAAGTGAACACTAATCCTAGAGCCAGCCTTGATTCTCCTGCTCCCTGTGTCGTTTCTAGGCTGGTTTCACCTGATCATTAGTGTAATATCCTTCCTCTTCTTCACTGACATGCTGATCTACTTTATTCACAGAGGCCTGCATCATCGAGTTTTATACAAGGTAGGGCGTTGGGAGTGGAAAGAGAAATGACACTGCAGATTTCAGCAATGGGCGGTCATAAATTTTGTTCTCTAGTTGTAAGAATTTTCTCAGCCTGTATTACGTGCCTGAGTTAACCATCGTCATCACAGGTCCCAGGCATATTATGTTCTTGTTCTTTGTGGGCCTGGAAGGGCTGTCTTAAAATTTTAATTTTGGAGTGAAGAAGGAAGCCCTTGTGCAAAATGATTTTGCTGATTTCAAAGGGATTTTTCAATTAGGTCACTTCCAGCATGAGTGTGAAAAGTGAAGTTGACTGTTGCACTAGGTGAAGTTTGTGGTGCTAATTGTATTCCTTTCTTCTTTAGCACATACATAAACCTCATCACATCTGGAAGATTCCCACTCCATTTGCAAGTCATGCTTTTCACCCTGTGGATGGCTTCGTGCAGAGTCTGCCTTACCATATATACCCTTTTGTCTTTCCATTACACAAGGTGGTTTACTTAGGCTTGTATGTCTTGGTTAATATCTGGACGATTTCCATTCATGATGGTGATTTTCGTGTCCCCCAGATCTTAAAGCCTTTTATTAATGGCTCTGCTCATCATACAGACCATCACATGTTCTTTGACTATAACTATGGACAGTACTTCACGTTGTGGGATAGAATCGGAGGCTCATTCAAAAATCCTTCCTCCTTTGAGGGGACAGGACCACTTAATTACGTGAAGAAGATGACAGAAGAAAAATCCAAAAGCCCTGCAGAAAATGGCTGTAAAAATGAAAAATTATGCAATGGAGGCTTTTCAAAGACTGAGTAAATATTGCCCAATTATCTTAAATATTTTTAGTAAGGAAAAATAATCTACACACAGCCAAGATACATAGCAAGTAAATGGTATCATTTAAAAATCAGCATTGCGTGCCCTTCTGGTGAGTGACCATAATGGTAGATCAAGGGAAGATGCTGTGAGCACCAAGATTTTACTCTCATGCTTAAAATGCCAGGCATTGATCCAAGAGACAACTTGAGTCTTCCAGCCAGCAGATCTGTTGTTTGTACAGCCTCAACAACAATTTTCAGTAAGATAGGGAATAAACTACTGAGGGGACTAGGCTATGTACTTTTGCCTTAATCCACCCACATTCATTAAGAGAAAGTCATCGTGCTTAACAATACCAAGACTAAGCACCATAACTGAGAAATACTAACGTAAAGATGGCTGACTCCTTGTTTTCAGAATGATTAATTATTGAGTGTTGGTATGGTAATGACCACTTATAGGACTTTGTTCAAATGGAAGCATCAGTATGAAAAAACCCCCAAAACTCTGATATATTAGAATCTATGTCAGTGACTTACTAAATAGCAGGTGTGATAAAATTACCATCTTCCTATACATAGGCACCTTATTCTCTGGGGACATTGTCAAATAGTCCATCTTACTGATGAATAAATAAGTTGGAATTTTTAAACACCAGTTCTACCATGCTGTAATCCAGGTATGAGATTATTTGACTTAAGGTATTGATGGTTATCATTTAAAACCATTATTTAATAAGCATAAAAATGTGAATCTGAATATTGTTAGGGAAATGTGATGCCTAAATAATAAACTTGGCATTACTCATTTTTAATTAAATTGATGCACTGCACTTTTGATATATTTCCAAGTTACAAACCTGACGTTTTTTATAAGGAAAATAATTGCCAAATATGCCTGTTTCTGAATACTTGTTTTAAAATCTCATTCTCTTGTTCTCATCACTTTTCCCCACTGCCTCTGCAAAAAAAGACTTAGCAGATACTTTGATAAAGAAATGTTGTGTGTTGTAACATAAATATATTGGGAAGAAACATGGTCTGAAAGGTTATTCTGTTGTGTAAAAATCAATAAAAGTTGATTATGACTGCTATTAAATTCTATTAGTTAAATGTTGCAATAGCGCAAAATATTCTTCACGCGAAGTTGTATCAACTTGAAACCACAGAGGTGGTGTGGTTTATTAAAACTCAGCAGTGTCTAGGGAAGGGGGAAAGGCTGTCACATCCTTATTGGATTGAGTATTTCAGCAAGACACCACTGGTAAAACTTAATGCCTGGGATCCAGAAGAAAGCTTTTTCTATTGTTTAAATGCTGTCTTAGTTTATCAGTTAGTATTTTATAATGGGCAAATGGAGCTGAGTACGTTTCACTAATCTCACCATCATAGTGCTCCACTTTGCCCAAGGCAAAGGAAGAAATTAAGTAAATTTTTCCCTAATAATAGTGACAGCTAATATGTATTGAGCTCTTCTTTATCAGACACAAGTCTTTGATATAGGGAAACTTGACCCAGAAAAAGCTTTTTTCATGTTTTTTTTTCTCGCGTATGTAAATTCCCTTGTAATCGTTTGTGGTCAGCAGGCAGACTTCCATATGCTCATTCTGTGACCCACGCTTCATCCACCTTGGGGCTCTTTCTTTCCGACTGTAGAGCCTTCTCTGTTAAGGGGCACATAGGGAAAGAAGGAAAAGTTTAGGCAGGAAAAATGTAGGCTAGTAGCACACTACCCAGAAGCAGTGTACTTCTCTTTTGTCACATTCTTTTGACAGTACTTAGTCATGTGGCCCCACCTCACTGAAAAAGATTCTGGGAAATGTGTCCAGCTGTGTTCTGGGAGGAAGGGGAGCCAGCTTTCCATGTCTACATCATTTATTACTCTCTTCATTGAGGGGTACGAAGGAAATAAACATCAAATAGTCAGTGTGCAAAGAGGTGTTTTAAGTTGTCCACACACTGGTTGTCTTAGTGTATGAGTGTTAAAATTTCCTCTAGATTATTATTCCTGTGTTGCTAAGTGGAGAAGGGGTATATAATTTATGGGGAGAGGGAAAATCCCTCAAAAGTGTTAAAGATAATCAAACTCGTTTCTGTCCTGTCACCCTTCTTCAATTCTGGTCTTACTAAGCTGCATTATGTTACTCACTTGTAACCTTTGATATCCTCATCACAGTCTCCTGTTTTCCCTTAGAGGAACCCAGAGAATATTCATGGAAGTGAGGATCTAAATTCCTTCCTAGAGGAATACCGGTCACTAACTTTTTCCTTGACTTTGAAACTTTTATGGCTACTAGAGAGAAAGGGAAAACCAAGATTCCCTTTTGTGTTTTTATGGTAGAAAGAGAGAAGTAGATGCTGATGGCGTGAGAACCCAATTCAAAAGCCCAGAAACATTTACTACAAGTCTTCATTTTCCTCTCCGATACTGAATGCAGTGACTCCTACTTCTCACCGCCTGTCAGGTTTCTTTTTCCTTCTGTCTTCTGGAAGTCAGGGACAGATTTAGGGAATAACTGTGAGTTTGGATTTTGATGCATGCAGTTTACAGTGCAGGCAGGTTATTTACAGAGAGGTGTGTCTGGGAGACAATTAGAAGAGAGATTTGAGATTAACCCAAGTGGAAGAAAGGTTTGAAATCATGAGATTGCTAGGGAGAGTGTGAATAAAGGTAACCAAAGAAATATCCAACTTGAGGGGCACTATGGCCTTGTTGATGGGAAAACGGTATTTTCAGAAGACCTTGGTTCTTGCATTCTAGCATGGAAGAATCCAAACAGAACACGTGGGTGTAAAAGTTCATTAAAAGTTAGGGAAAGGGAAATACAAAGGGAGCAAGGTAGAGTCCACTGGCAGAGAGCATGCTTTTCTTTTTTAGATACTTTTAAAACCTACACTAACCCATGGGGAGGGAAGACCCAGGAGATTCCCACCCAGTAATGAATGAGTGGGGAGGAGCATGGGCGGTTCCCAGCCGAGTGAGGGTGGTCTGGGCCATCCCCGGTTTGGGCCATCCCTGGGCAACCTACGTAAGCCCCAAACTTTTCCTCCTTCTAGCCTGCCTCATTCTGGATGTGTTCTAAAATCCATGCATCAAAATTTAATCACCAGTGTGATGATACTAAGAGCTGGGGCCTTTAGGAAGTGATTAATTAGGTCATGCCCTCATGAATGGGATTAATGAATTCTGAAAGAATTGTGAGGGAGTGCTTCACCACTTTTGCTTTTCTGTTCTGTCCACCATATGAGAACACAGCTTTCAACCCCTCGGAAGGCAGCAAGGTGCCACTGTGGAAACACCAGACCTTCACCAGACACTAAGCCCTCTGCTGCCTTTATCTTGGACTTTCTGGCCTTCAAAAGTGTTTGAAATAAATTTTCTATTCAGAAATAAACTGGTGTAGAGTGCTTCTAAGCAGCAAGAAATGACTAAGGCAAAGGGAAAGAACTCTCTTTACTTGCCTTCCCAACTTAGCACATTTGACAGACAGTCATCAGCACTTAACTGCCTTCTATGTTGTTATGTGTACCTTATTTATTCTGAGGCACAGTTTACTTGAAAGTAAAGACCATTTCTGAATTGTCATTGCCTTACACCATGCATTCTTATAAAATACCCAAGACAACTAAGGCTCAGTAAATACTTTGCCCAGTGTATTAGTGAAATGGTGAAAATGTCATATCTTAAACGCACATTTTCTGAACCCCTAATAGGTGCCAAACACTGCACTATGTACAAATGTTTATTCTGAGTATATCTTTTTACCCAACAAATTGTTTTCCCTTTGTTCATTAGCTGACATTTGTTGAATGTCTTAGGGAAGTTGAAAGTGGAATCAATGACAAGTCCCTATGTAAGGACAGACATCTTTCTTACCTTATACTGGTCTCCTGGAAATGACCCACAGTTCCCCAGATTCTGACTACTTATGGAGTAATACGTGTTCTGATAAAGGAAAGGAATGAATCTGTGTACCCGGCTCTTAACAGGGTCCTTAAGGCAATACAAAAGATTCTTTTGCGTTAAGGAATCTGAATACAAAATAATCTTTAAGGATATTGATTATAACAAGAAAGAACAAACTTACAAGGGTAATCTTTAACTGAATTATAGTTGCTGAGCTCTTTGGAGTTAAACACACACATGAGTCCTGGCTCTGTCACTTGCAGATGGTGTTGTTCTGGGTTTCTCCCTGTGTTACGGGATAAAAGCACTGCCTCCCAATATGATCAAGTTGCAAGCACTCAAATGACATCTGAGGCTATTACGCACATCAGGCTTTCTGCCTTTCCTTTTCTAGGTTACATCTTTATTATAATTTCAACATACCTCTGAATATATTTCCACCTGTCTCTCCAATGCCTAAATTAAGCATAGTAAAGTCAAACACCTGCACAATCGTTTCCCCCAATTTTTGTTGAAATTTTACGTGAGTATCTTCTTAGTGATTAAACACCTAACGTGGCTGCCTCAGGCATTATATTGCAGTCATCAGTTCTGCCAAAGTGGGGCACACTCCCGAACACGTGCTGCGATGGAAGACAGACGGAGTGGAATTGTAAGTCAAGAAGGTAAGGACAGGTGCACACAAAGCCATCGGCCGCCCTGCCCTGCCCTGCCCAGGATGTCCAAGCAGAGTGCTAAAGACCAGTACTAGTTCCCTTTGGGCCATCATGGAAAATATCCAAACAAAACTGGAATGTCTGCCAACTATATCTCACACTAAGGTTCTGGTATATAAAACTAAAGGATTAAAACTGTAGCTTGTACCTCAGAAAAATCGAGCTATTGGGTCTTATCCTCCATGTTGGGTTTTTTAGTTTATCCTTATATGGGCTGTGACAGCTTAATACTATAGGTTTTTATTTACTCTACGTGGCCCAGGCTGCCCTTGCAGTTGAGACCCTTCTGTCTCAGACCCCCAAGTGCTGGGATTACAGGCATGTACCACCCCACCTGGCTTCACTTCTCACATCATTTTGTTGCCTTCATCTATTTTAAGAGTATGATTTTACTCAGTCACTCATTTAGATGAAAACTTGACCCCCTGACATGGGGTTCCAAAGAAACAAATAGAAACCTAGATTCTTTTCCGTCAAACTTCGTGGAGGTATATTCTACATACATACGTTTTTATAGTACAGTTCAGCTTTGAGAAATTTATACACCTTTGTCACCATCATCCCCAGTCAAAATATAGAACATTTTCTTTACAAGAAAACATCTCATCTCATTTCTGTGGCCTTTCTCTCCCCAACCCTCAAATCACTGATCTTTCTGTCACTGGAGGTTAATTTTACCTGTTTTAGAATTTTATTATAATTTAGAATTTCATTATATACTCTTGACTGTATATGCCCTTGTGTTTAGTTTCTTTAACCTAGTGTGTTTTGAGATTCATGCTGTTGCATATATTTGTAGTTTATTCCTTTTTATTGCTGAATAGTATTCCATCATAGTATACCAGTATTGGTTGGTCTGTGTATCTGTTGATGGGTATTTGGATTATTTCCAGTGTGAGGTTATTATGAATAAAACCAGTACAAACATTTTTGTACAAGTCTTGTGAATCTGTTTTCATTCCTCATGGTAAATGCCTAATAGAATTGTTGTCATAGGGAATGTATGTTTAATTTTATAAGAAAACAACCTTAAACGTTGTATCATTTTATATTTCCCCTACAATGGTGAGAATTCTGTTTTCTCCACACCTTCACTAACACTTAGTATTGGCAGTCTTTATTTTTAAGCCATTGTAGCGAGGTGGGTATGAAGTAGTGTCCCATGGTGGGACATTTTCCTATGACTAATGTTAAACACATTTTCTCATGCTTTAAAAAAGAACTTCTTATATCTTTTGTGAAGAATCTGTTCAAGTCTTTCAAACAGTTTAAAAAGTGGGTTGCACATCATTAACTCACAAGAATTGTTTATGTTCTGACACAAATTCTTGGTGAGATGTACTCATTACAAATATTTAATTGGGTTTGCCTCATCATTTCCTTAATAATGTCTTACGATAAGGAAAAATGCTCAATGTTGATTAAAGCCAGCTTATCAATTTTTATGCATCTATATCCCACCTAAGAAATCTTTGCCCACCCCAAAGCATCCTCCTCCATCATGTGTGGATGTAGCTTCTCATGTCCAATGATGACTTCAGAGGTTTCACTGACATCACTTGACATAGCCAGCATTAGCATTGTTGGCTCGGTGTTTCTGGACTTCGGTGAGGTAGAACATATGGCGGGGAGCACGTGGTACAACAAACCTGCTCACCTCATGGCAGCTGGGAAGCAGAGAGGGAATTAGTTTTTTAATAGAAGATGTTTCGTATTTTCATTTCTTCCTTTCCTGTCAGTTTTTATAGATTGTTTTTCAACAAATTTGCCATTTCATTTAAGC